ACAGAAGGTGTTCGGGGGAGGTGGGATCGGGTTCTAAGACCTCCCCCCCCCCCACCACCTGTATATGAGGCCCGGGGACATTTGGGGCACGGATATTGCTGGGGTGTCGGAGGGGTTTTGCTCGTGAGGCTTCAGGCAGGCTGCTGAAGCGCTCTGTGGGACTGGTTTGTGGCCTGTTTGGAGAGGTCACCAGTCTGGGGACTGTAAGGAGCCCCAAAGTTGAGCAATTTGCTCTGAGCGGACGCCCTCAGCTGGGCCCAGACATGGCCCGGTCCGTCACAATTACATTAGCTATTCTCCAGTCATCTGGTACTGAGGCTGATTTAAGTGATAGATTACATACCACAGTTTGCAGTTCTGCAATTTCATATCTGAGTTTCTTCAGAACTCTTGGGTGAACAGCATCCAGTCAGGTTGTTGGGGGGCAAAGGCATATTTAGTCCTGACAGAAGCCCACTGTGGATTTTAAGAGTCTGTTCTGAGAATGTTTAATAGCATAACCATAAGTAGATCTGCTGACGTGTAAGAAACTGCAGAATAATCATGCCTATGAGAACAGCAGGGGATAAAGTAATTAAAATGCTAGATGGATGGGGTGACATTGGAGAACATTTGGGGTATGACTACACAGCACTGTAACTTGAAATAAGATACGCAATTTGAGCTACGCAAATTGTGCATCTTATTTCAGTGCTATTTAGAAAGAGCTTATTGCGGCATTTGGGGCTGTCTACACAGCGCCAAATTTTGAAATAAAGCGCTAGTCCAAAACATCCCTTACTCCTCATGGAATGAGGTTTACAGGGACGTTGGAATAGCGAGCCTGAAATAACAGGTTTGCTGTGAAGACGTGGGATAGCTATTTTGGGATACTCCAGTTTCCCGAAATAGTGTTGCAGTGTAGATGTACCCTTGGTGGCCTGAAAAGGGACAGTCAGGAAAAAGGCAATAAGAAATACAGAAACAATATAAGGCATTGGGGCGCTGGAAACATTGGCATGGAATCACGTGGTTATCATGGTATTGTGGGAGGAAAATTAGAGGACAGTTAATCTGGTATGTTAAATAACCAAATGAAGGAGGGTATGTCTACACTACCACCCTAGTTCGAACTAGGGTGGTTAATGTAGGCAACTGAAGTTGCAAATGAAGTCCGGGATTTGAATTTCCTGGGCTTCATTTGCATCTTGCCGGGCACCGCCATTTTTAAATCCCTGCTAGTTCGGACTCCGTGCCCGCGGCTACACGCGGCACGGAGTAGGTAGTTTGGATTAGGCTTCCTATTCCGAACTACCGTTACTCCTTGTGGAACTCCTTTAAATCCCGGGCTTCATTTGCAACTTCGGTTGCCTACATTAACCACCCTAGTTCGAACTAGGGTGATATTGTAGACATACCCGGAGGATTTAGGGAAGGAGTTAAAGAATATTCAAGGCACTTGGATAACGGGGCAGGTGTTTAGGGAAGTGCAAGCAGCAATCAATGAAATAGGAAAAATCCTGAACCAAACTAATATATCAAAGGTGATTCACCTGCACATAGGATGGTGCTTCCTAATGCAGGAGCTACACGAGCAGGATGAAAGGAAGTTCAAAGGGGGGAAGTGTCCAGAGAAGATGCTAGAACAATGGACAAAAATAAAAGTAGCTGCTTAGTGCAGGGTTGGGTGCCTCTCACTGCCCTGTTATGCTGAGCAAACGTTGATGAAACATGGGCCCTTTCTCTGCTACCAGTAAAAACAGTGGCCACAGGTCTTAGTAAGGCATTAAGAGTGAATAGTGTCCAGACTACGGTTCATTGGAACCTACCAGGGCAGGTTACATCTTAAAAGAACACATCACCCGTCCTCAGTTATTAGTAAAGGAGGGTGTCTGGACTGCTCCAGGTGTTGTTCTAAGAGGCGTGATACCTGCTTATGTCGTTGTGATGTGCTGCAGGGTACACAACTCGCATGCTGGCAAAGAAGCAAGGTTAAGCCAAGGTGGTATTAGAGGGAGAAGGTAAATATTGTGAACCCTCTTGGGTCAGACACTTCCAATAGGGGACACAAACGTATCATTATGACCAGCCAGTGTGCTCCTTAGAGCCAAGAAAGGTTATCTGAATAGGGGACAAGGTAATTTTTTAGCTGTATCCACCATGAGATCCACAATGTATCGGCTGATAGCTCTCTGACGGGTGCTGCCTAATGCAGCGAAGCCATGTCATGCTGCTTTTGCATCGAAATATGCAGGTCTTCATGAATAGAGATCCAGAATGTTTGTTGACCGTAAGGCTATGTCTAGACTGCAAGCCTCTTTTGAAAGAGGCTTTTTCGAAAGATACTTTCGAAAAAGCCTCTTTCGAAAGAGAGCGTCTAAACTGCAAGCAGAACTTTCAAAAAAGCAAGCCGCTTTTTCGAAAGAGAGCACCCAGGCAGTCTGGATGCTCTCTTTCAAAAAACCCATTTGCATTCAAGAACGCCTTTTTTCGAAAGAGCACTTTTGAAAAAAGGCGTTCTTCCTCGTGAAATTAGGTTTACCGCCGTCGAAAGAAAAGCCGCGTTCTTTCGATTTAATTTTGAAAGAACGCGGCTGCAGTCTAGACGCAGGTGAAGTTTTATAGAAAAAAGGCTACTTTTTTCAAAAAAAACCCTGAGTCTGGAC